TGATTTATGTTTTAAGGAAATAGATATTGACAAAGATATAGTTTTTATATTGTTAAGATTATACTTTATTAATTATATAATCGAAACTTGTTAGTTTGTCAAGGCGACAATGCAGAATATTTATATAAAATACAATTATAAGATAGAGATAATAAATATAATAGTAAAAATAAATATAACTATGAAAATAAATATAGTAAATAAAATATTGATAAACATAATAATAAAGAAAATAAATATCACAACGATAACTGTGATAGCAGTGAAAATGATGATCACAATTTTTCTGGTGATCATTGGTAACGTTAGTTGGTGTAGTTATTTAGTAATGCAAATAGATTATCACTAACATCGTCATGCCAGAAAGGCAAAATCTAGCTGAAAACTACTTCATCATTTAAATGTATCTTCTTATCGAATAGGATGCCTATGGAAAGTCAACATTTGGGTTAAAAAGAGTAAACACTGTTTTAAAGTTACAACTTTTCATAATCAACATGTTAGCCATAAGCTTTATATATCAGTGAACTGATTTGATCTAATATTACAAAAATTACCAGAAGAAATTGTTAAAGAAATTCATTTCCTAATAGTTGTTGCTAAGGTGAATGCTATTGTACAGTATCAAATAATTTGAGAGAAATATAAAACTAGAATTTAACGATGAGATTTATATAACACTATTAGTAAGTTTTATTATGAATCAACATCAGGTGAAGAAGATACAGGATTATTATTAAGAAGACTCCATGATAAAAAGATTAAAGATCTACAATGGGTGATCTTAATGAAATTTGATCCTATTACTTTTTCGTTAACTCACCTTTTTTGATGAGTCCTGAATAACAAATTTTGTGGTTACATTATCACGATATAGTAATATATGATAATACATGCAAAACAAATTATTATAACTGCTCTTTATCTCTTTTTATTATATCTAATAATAACTTAAAAACATGCATTATTGCTTAAGCTATTGTTGATGATAAAACACAGACTTTTTACGAGTGGATTTTTAAATGTATTAAGAAAGCAACCAATATACTGCTAAGAGTCTTTGTAATAGATAGTAATCTGGCAGTCAATAGTACTGTTATAATACAGTTTTCTGACACTTTTACATGCATTATATTTAGCATATATGCCAAAATTTATTGAAGCAATTAAAGGGAATACTTGGTTCTGATTATAGTAAATTTATGAAGAATTTTTTTATAATGAGAAATAGTTTAACAGAGGAGCAATTTAATAAAAGGTGAAAATATAGCAAATTTACTTGAAAAATATACAAAAATATTTAATAATACTGTAATAAAATTAATAAATGTTATAATTCTTAGTGACATTTAAATTATTAAATTGTTTATTTTTATTTTTTTTTATCTTTTTTTTTGATTAAACAATTTATTATTTAATAAAGATGGAAGAAGTTATTACAAGACTATCCAAATTTCAAGGATTATTTAATAAAGTTTTTAAGATGTAACTCTCAATCATGGGTATATGCATTTACGAGCAAATATTTTACAGCTGGTATACAGTCGATCTCTTGTAATGATAGTGAAAATTCAACATTAAAATGGTTTTTTGGAGGGTCAAACCTTTCATTATGTAAATTGTTTGATTTCTTAGAGAAAAGATATCAAGAAGAGATTGATTATTATAAATTTGTAAACTAAAAGCAGACAATCCCGCAAATAAGACCCAAAATGCAGCAAAATCTATTTTCAAATCAGTGGTAAAGCAATTAAACAAATTTGTAATGCTAAATGTTATAAAGAAGCAAAAGAAACAAATAAACTTAAGACTATACTACTATGCTGTAGAAATTGATTTTGAAGTTGTACGTTCTATGGAAAAGGTGAATTTTCTATTTGTTATATTCAAACTTTATAACTTAATAATAGAGAGTCAGTCAAACTTATATAGAATTAGGTATATAATGTCAATAATAGGCTGTTTAAAATTCTATTTTAACGTTACATTAGTGGAATTAATAGAGAAATTTTTTCATATGCAACTGATCAAATATAAAAGCATCACATTTATCGTTTGTTATTGAATTATCAACATTAGAGTGAATTAAGTGAAGTAAATACAAATAATGATAATCAAGTTATTATGCTATATTAATATTGACTATAGAAAATCTGTTTCAGGAATTAGACTTTTGATTGGCTAAAGCAATTTCTCCTTTATTAATATCAGAACACTAATACCCTTTTAAATTTTTTTTTTATAGGAATTTAACGAATTGACCTGATGTATTAATAACTTATTTGACTGCTCACAAGCACAACTGAGCTCACTTTAAAAGATTTTTCGATAATTCTCAAAATCTGAGAAGTTTTAGATTTAGCAAATTCTAATACTTCCCATTTCGTATATCTTTTAGATAACTGTATCTATCTTTGTACATGTATGATAAATAAGACTCATGGTTACCTATGTTGCCATTTTTACCGTATAATAATCTTTACGCTTACTACAAGGTTTCATATTAGTTTGGTGAATCAGCATTGGTATAAGGATGTATTGCAAGGAACTAATATATTAAATAGCGAATTTGTAGTTATTTCTCTAAATAAATTAGTATCAAAAACACATTCTCTCCTGATAAGATTCTTACAATCATCAAATTTATGTAAATTTAATACCAATCAGATTAAAAAAGCTGCTATCTCAGATAATAAAATATTTAAAGCTATATTAAAGAAATGTAAATTTGGTGAACTTTGGGATCTAAGAAGAAAGATAATGATAGGTGCTATTGAGAATAAAAATAAGGATAATTATCATGAACTTCTTGAATTTTTTTCATCAATTCAGAGAAGATCATTTCAGAGAATTATTAATGACAATTATGATCTTAACATTAATAATAGTAATGTTATAATGGATATTCAAAATCCTGTTAAACGAAAACTAAAAGGCCATCCTAAAACAAAGAGAATTAAAAGTATTATAGAAGAATCTAACATCAAGACCTAATATAAGTGCAAATCATGTAAGCAGAAAGGTCATAATAGTAAAACTTGTAGAGCTAATAAAGAAAATGAAGTTAAAGGGTGAGTTTATATTTTTTGTGTTAATCAATTAATATATGCTTGATTTCTAATTATTATTTATTTAAAGTTATGAATAATTTTATTATTTTAATTGAAAGTATAAAAGAAAAGAAATAAAAATTATATAAATTATAAATGCTAAAAATATTTATTTATATTTATTTTAATTCTTAAAATTTGAATATTTTATTTAAAAATTCTTTATAATTAATAATACTAAATTTATATAATCTATTGATTTATATCAAAATTTATATATAATAAAATTTTAACTAATTAGCAACTTTTTAATTTAAATTGTTATAAATTAAAATTAAGATATATAATAATTTTACTAATAAATTTGTATATTTATTTAAATAAAGCTATTACATATTTAAATTTTATTTTTGTAATAGTTAAAAAATTAAAAAATTTTAACAATTGATTTTTTTTATTTGTAAAAATTAAAATTTTATTTGTTAAAATAATGCTGTTTTACACAATGTCATTGTAGGGGTTTAAAGACAGAATGTCTGTACTCCTATAGCATTGTGTACCTGCAGAAGTCATAAAATCATTATCAAATTTTTTTTTTATTATACTAGAAAAGCTTCTAAAAACTCTAAAATCTTAATTTCTATATTATTTTAAAAAAGCTTCTAGCCAGTTTAAAAGGTTAATTTCTACATCGATTTTTTTATTATATATTAGAAAAGCTTTTAAGACTTCTAGAATTATAATTTCAATATTGTAAATAAGTCTAATGAAAATAAATATATCAGGAATTGATTCTATAAGGGTTAGCGCATTAATTAGCATATTTATTAAATAAGTTTAACGAAAATGTTTATTAGATATTACGCTTATAATTTAAGTTAGCTGAAATAATCTTTTCATTTATTCTGATTGGCAATTAACGTAATAATCTCCTTCTCTCAGTTTTATCAGAATGAGACATTTCTTGCAAAGAGAAATATTAAGATTTGTAAGCATATTTCTATAGGTAACCATTATTTCTCATAACTTCTTTTTCGTATCTCTGATCAAAGTTTATCATAGAATTAGCTAGCATAGGATTAACTAACATAAGTTCTTTCTTATTGAAATCTATTATAGTATTGAGTAACATAGTAACCTCTAACATATAGTAGACATTATCTACAAGCAGAAGCTATAAGCTTTTCGCAATCAGAACAAGGTATATATTTTTTAGCTTTCCAATGAAAATGACATCCTTCAGGTCTAATACTAGCATTTTTATAAGCCTTTCCAGTATTGCAGAGAAATGAGCAAGAATATTTGTCAATCATCCTACTTTTTTATTACTAGATTCGAAATGATTAATTAATAATTAGATAATACTTCAGTTTTGCAATAGCTAGAACCTCTTTAGAAAGCTTGTAAATACTAATCTTCAGTAGGATTTCTATGATTAAAAAGTGATAGATACATAAGAAATAAATAATCAAAGAAAAAAATTATATAAGCAAGTAATAGCGTAACAGTTAGAGCTAACATTATGGTTAGAAAAATAAGTATTGATAAAAAAGATACAATCTGTAAACATTGTAGTCATAAATGCTCAATACCTCAAAAACTTCGTGAATATCTTAAATGAAAAAATCCATATAAATAACCTTTAAAAGGTAGAGATGTAACTTTTACTAAAGTACCAATTCTAACGCCTATTCAAGAATTTAAGCAATATCCTATTTGAGAGCCTGTTCAAACTCTTGAATTAGAAATGACTGCTCAAGATTCTACTTCTAAGCCAGAACTAATTCATGGAAGAGACTATATTACTGAAGAGGAGACAAAAAACTGGATCAGTTCAAATGTACATAAACCTAAAAAGCGAATTAAGACATGGGAGTAAGATTGTAAAAATGTTAGAAAGAATTAGATTTGGGTGTTGAACCATATGAGGCAAATGATCTAGATAGTTGTAAGCCCTTTTCTATGATCTTGAACTAAATAATCCAGAGGCAGTTCATCTACTGACATTAAAAGAGTTAAAGTCTAAAGGCAATCCTGGACATAAAATACAATCATTTAAGAAAGGTAATAAATCTAAGAATTTGATCAATAAAGAATTTGAGTGCTTAGGAGAAATTAAGGGATATGAAATGTTAGAGAAGGATTTAGAATTTAGAAAACAAGAAGAATTAGAAACAGTAGTTAAAAGAAGAGCTATAGCAGTGCATTGTGTAAAAGTTTCTAAATCTTATCCTAATAATGAAAGTGATATATAAAAATTTTTAGAAAGCTAAAGAAAGTAATTTAGAGAATTACTTGAAAAAGAATTTGATAAGTATGGACAATTCAAGTTTGCTTTATGTTTATTAGGTAAATTTCTCATAGATGATAAGCCTGAAAATAAAAAAAAAAGTACAAGAAGTGATTAGTTATAAAATAAACAAATTATAGTATACAATCAAGTTGAAATTGATGATTATTTAAGCAATACTTTTAAACAAATAATATATCTAGTAGAAGAAAGAGAAGGTAAGTTTAATGCTTAAGTATCCATTGAGGGGGTAATTGTGCATCTTTTACAATTTGAAGTTCTTCTCTTAGTTTAGAACTATTGTAAAGTTTATAGAGAATAAGTTAGTTTTCTTTTATCAAATAAGAATTAATTGTAAAAACTTCAGAAGAACAATTGCAATCAATTGCTCTTCTTCTATCACCTTTTAATTCGCCAGGTTCTAAAAGGTGACGAACTTCCATATAACTAGGTAAAAGGGGTTCATTATAACCAACTGGTCTCCTATATTTGACATAAGGTTTAGCTATTATTTTTTTACCTTTTAATGCCTTTTTTACAGTCTCGTTAAAAGACATAGCTATTAACTGAGTAGAAGAATTGTTGAAAATATTATCATTTATACAAAATCCCTTAATCCATGCTCTAGATCTATTAGTCAAAGATAAATGAAAATCTTTAGCATCTTGTCGAAAATAAGTATATTTTTAAATTATTAATGGTCACGTTCAGCAATAGCTATATCACATTTAGAGTTAGCATACTGAATTCTTATATTATAACTGAGTAATAAATCTTTACATCATCTATATATTCAGTACCTCTATCTACAATAAAACCTTCAGGTGGATTAAAAGGATTATTAGGATCATTATAAATTTTTTGAATATTCTTAACCATTTGTGCAGTAGATTTATCAGTCAACGCAAAACTACGTCGATACCTAGTTGTAACATCTTTAATAATACTCCTATATTTGTAAATCTGATTACCTACTTTATCATGAAGTATAGGGTAGTATCAGATTGGTGTACTTCATTTAAAATTGTATATTATTAAAGGAAGCATACTGAATAAATCTAAGACAAGGCATATGAATTTGATGAACAGCTTATCTTTCAAGCCAATCCCTAACTTATTTTAAACTAAAATTATATCAAACCTTTTTAGAGGCTTTATGTAATTTTTTGCAGTTCTTTGATAGCCCAAAGGCTGATAATAAATTTTACGTAAAGCTAAAGATACATTCATATTTCAAGCTTTGTCAGAATCTATTAGAATAATAAAAATCAATGAAAGCTGAGCAAGCATATCTCTATTTGCTAGACAGTAATTTAGAATTGCAAATAAAATTAACTAAAGAGAAAACTATTATTATAAAAAATAAGGAAAAGATTCACAAGCTCACAAATAATCTAGAGTGATGTGAGTTATATATCAATTATCTTGAAAAAAATCTTATCTTACGAGAGAATGAGTTAGATAGATTAAAAGCAGAATATCACTTTATCTTACATAATCTCAAAAAATGTCAGGATCATTTAGATCTAAAGGAAGAAGCATTAGTTGCTCAAGATAATCGAATCATTCTGTTAAAAGATACAGTAGAAAAGCTTAAAAACCAAATCCTTAAGATATCGCACTCCTTTGATTAAGATCATCAGGAGAAACAATTGACTCAAAATTTTCCACATCATGCTGGTCTTTTATTACAAGAAACTGATTGCAATAGCCCTTTTTTGAGTCTAGCAAAAAAAAAGTAAATAACAGTAATAAACCTTCTAAAGAAAAATATCAAAAAAATATAGCATTACCAGATATCTTAAAAAATATTAGTACAGCTTTAGATTGGATTGAAGGATATATTAATAGTAATATAATATTTAACCCAAGAAATATACTAAATAGAATATGGATCTTAATAATAACTATTCAAGAGCATAATCAAAGGTATGCTCAGAATAATGCAAACTTATAAAATTTGCTTAATGCATCCTATAGGTAGATTAATAGAATTATGAATGATATGATAAATTTTAGAAATCCTATAAAAAATTTGCACACGTTTTTTCATTATTATAAATAAGTTTTGTATACGTTTTTTAAAATTTCGTATCACATTTTCTTATATTTTATAAGGA